AAATTGAGTAGCATTGGTTTGTAGGGACACACTGGAATTGGGAGGCTACTGTTAATCAGATCTCACATATGTCTGAAGCCAAACCTTTGAAGTGGTCTACTGACAGGACTCCCATGTGAGTTGACCTTTGAACCATAGGTAGCTCCTACTGGCATTTTGTACAATGAACCCTTCCCTCCAAACTACCCAGGGAATGAAACTGCTGCCAACCTCTTTCATGAGAAAGCTTAACTTTTGCCAGTACCAATTAATTCCTGATTAACTAGTGATGGAACAGCTAACTTCTCTTGTGGTTTAAAGCTATAAATACAGGCACCATTTTGTAAAACCTCAGAGCACCTTTTCAAGACTGTGTTGTCCTATACTGCAATCCTAACTAGCCCTAACTAAATATAATTGTCTTTGTTCTTGAGTAGGTTAATTTTATTCTCATTCAACTGTTAAATGAAATTGTTAAGCATCTAGTTGCTGTCTTCAGAGAAATGGAAAATTGCTTTGTGTGGAAAATAAATTTATTATCAAGAGTGTAGTATAAAAACAGATTGTAGTAGTGGTGAATCTTTTTCTACCCAGTAAATATGTTGTTTGTAGTGGATGCTGTGCTACTCTGTCTCCTTTTGGACTGAAGGGATAATTCCTAAGTGTTGAGATGGCTGTGGGCTCACAGTTCTCAGTTATGTTAATTTCTGTTTAGCTGTTGCTTTGTTGAAGAAAGCAGCCTGCCATAAGGTGATATATCTCTTTTAGGGACAGTGGAAGAGTACAGGCCTGGCCCCTTCCCCTCAACCTGGAACAACTTTGATAGGATTACCTTAAATTCCTAGCTTCTTACAGAGGCCAGCTAGTTGACATTGTTTTGGTTGTTGTTGCTGTTCATTCCTCTTAATTGGGGGCCACCTAGTGACATTGTTCTTGTTGTTCATATCTCTTTATTCTAACGTTAGTATTATAATCTCTGAGAAAGTGCATTATTAGCCAGGAGAATGTGTGTTTGTTCTCCTCAACTTATAGGATTCAATTTACCTTTTAAAGAAAATGAGGTGGTAAGGTATATCATACCCTCTAAAGGTACAGGGGAATAAATCTTTATTTGCAACTGTGCCATAGTCCTACCTTCTTTATGTCCCCCATGAATGTGGATACCAAGAATAAATAATATCCTACACACTTTTCTCCATCTCAGATTTTTTTTTTAAATTGAGCAGTTGAACTCAGGACCTTCATACTGAGCTACATCCTCAGCCCTTTTAAATTTTTCTTTTCTTTTCTTTTCTTTTTTGGAGACAGGTTCTTGCTAAGTTACTCAGCTGTGCATAGCGGGCTCTACCTTGAGATCCTTCTGTCTGAGCTTCCCAGAGTGCTGAAATGATAAGCATATACCACCACATCCATCTTCTATCTCAGAATTTGTACCAAAGGGACCTCAACCTATGTTTTAGAGCTGTTTATATTTTAAGTGTGCTCCAGGTCACACAATGTTTGAGAGCCACTAAGATGCCACCTACTCCTGTGAGTACATAGGAGTAATTCTTTCTAACATATTCATCTCTGTAGGTGATGTGGTGACACATGTATAGAAAAAAATCACAGCTGGAATGAATCTTAACCTTGGGAATAGTACTGAACTTAGTGGGCGCTGGAAAATTATGAATGTGAGAAAGCTACTGCTACTTGATGACGAGAAGCATTTTTCTGTTTCTCCTCACACAATTAAGACCTTCCAGTGCTATGAACTGAAGTGCTTCAGTGTTCTCTTTCCCACCTTTCTTTTCGCTGGTAATAGTCACTCCAGTGCTGGGCTATCAAGCCATTTTATCTTCTCTTCATTGCCTCAGTGTTGAGCATGAGTCACCTCAGCTTTGAGCAAAAGGTGTTTCTGGCTGTGGACATCAGTGACCCAGTTGGTTCAAGCAGCAGTTCAACCTTTATCTTTTGACCCTTTTGGAAACCAAACAACTTATGCTTGCAAAGGAATGAGGTGTTGCTGTTTTCTTCTCATGGACCTGAATTCAGGCCAGTATCACCTAGGCTGACCCAGCACCAGGAAGGTGTACATGTTAAAAGAAAAAGCAAATGTGTTTTCTTATCCTTGGTACACAAGAATAGGATTGCCTAGAATGGTGGCTGTGATGATTTCAGAGGTGTCCAAAGCCATCTGAGATAAGACCTAAATTAAGGTGATTCTGCCATACTATACTACTGAAGGGTGGGACTTGTAAGGGACGCATTTTGACAATAGGAACAAGATAACACAATGCCTGCAAATACTAATGTTCAGTGCATGTCTGCTGAGTGCATAGTAGCTGCTAAATGTTGGCAATAAAACCATCAAGATAGGCTCAGCCTTTTCCGTCCTTAGAGAATTTAAGAGGAATTCTCTTAAATTGGGAAGAAGACAGTAATAACACCTACAGCAAGGAGAGCATATGAACTACCGCAGCCTAGGCTCAGGGAAGGAAGGCAGGACAGTTTGAGAGTAAGGGTATTCTCCTTATGAGGAGTTGGTGTTGCTATTGTTATTGTTTTTTCTCGTACTTCTTAATCATTTTTCTTATTTTTCTTTTCTGTCCTGGGGATTGAACCCAAGGCCTTCATACTAAGCTACATTTTCAGACCATTTTTAGTTTTTATTTGTGAGATTATAGGCATGCACCACCACACCCTGCTAATGTCATAGTCTTTAAGTATACACCTGAATATTTGGAAAAAATGATACTGTTTGGTGATATTTGCCTTTGTAATTTTATATTATAGTGTTTAGTTTTCAAAGAAAATGAAGCAAAGTGATATACTTAGTCCTTCAAAGACTCGGCAGAGGGCGGGGAAGAAGACACATGACATATTAGCCAACATTTAATAAATTTAATAAGTTAATAGGAAGTATCACAAAAACCTGCAGTGGATAACACACAGGAATCAAGAATAATACAACACTTTGCAACCACTCACAAAAAGTACCATATGACAAAGGAGAAGAATTACAGGAAATAATATAAGGCAGTCTGTTACACGTCTTAAACAGATACACAATAGAATAGTACATCAAAATGATTTGTTTGACAGTAAATTCACCATGTTTACATTTGTCACATGGGCTTTTTTAAAACATTTATAAAAGTTTGTCAATTTAACACTGAACTGTTAGATTTATATCCAAATGAGTATATTTGTTTCATACCACAATTGAAATAGCACACAATTTGAGGATAATTACTGTGTTGGGTACTACTAAGTACTACTACTTGATGACATAAGAATTATTAACAAATGTGCTATAAGCTATTACCATTCACCTTATTGCTAGTGCTTTTGGAAATCCATGGCTGATACTTTACTTCTCTATAAAACATGTGCTATGAGCTTGCCCTGATAGTTAAGAAATCAGATGTTTCCAATTTTCCAATTTTTCTCTAATATTCACAATGTTTCAGATCTGATTGCGTGGTCTTTCTCAGGACTGCTGAGGGGTTTTCTTCAGTCCTTTTTATACCAGCTACTCTGCCCTACATTAATACAAGTCAATGGATTCATGCAGCATACATGGTGTACATGCAGGACACCATCTGTATGTGCAGAACTCATGCTAAATGCATGCTGTGCTTCTTCAGACATTTTCGTTTCATTAAGAATTAGATCACCTCATTCATTTTCAGATAATTGTTTTAACATGCAGCTCAACTGACCTAACAGGCAGGTAGACTTTACTTTCGTGTTATATTTGGGCATGCTCAAGCAATTGGCTGGCTGTTTGGCAGTGTTGTAAATCACATAGAGACTGTATGAGTTTTCTCAAATACAGCCGCTCTCCCACTGCCCATGTGGCAGGCTGTCGAATTTATCTATGCTGTGTGTTGAGGACACAGAGCAAGGTTTTCAAAATTCAGATTCCGCAGTCACCAAATGTAAGATACTAAGAAGCACACTATGAAGTGTGTAAGTAACTGTCAGGTGTAAGAAATAGCATCATGAATTCTTCGGAGATTTTATCCACACTCGTGTGAAATGAACACACATGGAACACTGGAAACACGTGTATACTCTGTGCACAGCATAGATTTAATGGTCTTATTTTAGCAATGCTTGAAAACCTTTCACAGTTTACAAACTATTAAAATGATACTGAAGTTTTGGAGAGCAGCAGGCCTGCAAATGACACAAGGGCCAATACTTATTTTAACACAACACTATATTTAACAAAGATTTAAGTTTCTGGTATGCAATTGCAGTACAATGAAGAGCTTGCCACTTTTTACAAATTAGCTGCAGCCTTTTCCTGCACTAGAGAGTCTGGAAGGATCTGAAAATGTGATAAATTTTGTTTAAAATCCAAATGGAAACTCTGTATTTCTGTTATTCCCAGAGTTCAATAAAAGTGGTTTTTAAATTTCTTTTTTTTCCACATTCTAAGGGCCTAATTCGGTAGTCCTTAATCAAGTAAAACTTCCAAAGCTTTTGTCATCTATACATCCTACACAAGTTTTACTCAAAAATGGACTGCTAAATTGGGTCCTATAGATAGAGGTACCATAATTAAGAAAATATTTTAATAAGGCTCAAAAATGCTAATTTCACTTTGTGTGCAGCACACGAATTTCCAGAATTCTTAGATCAAAACCCAATTGATGTTGAATCCTGGATTGGGAAATAACTCTGGGACCTCAGTCTCCCAGTGTAGTCAAGGAATTAGGTATTTACTAAGGACCAGAATGAAAACACTAATTCCAGTTTGCTTGTCATAATAATCAGAATTTTAACATTGTCTTTAAGAAGTGAAAAGCTGTTGGTATATATGTATATATCTTTGTTATCCTTCCACTTCTGTAGTCCTGGTTAACCAGCTGCTATGTTAAAATACCACTATGTTTGGGGACAGACATTGCAGCAAAATACCAGTACAACACTCTGACAATGTCAAATTTTGTCCCTATAAGTAACAACAAAGTGAAGCTCTGCTTTTCACTCACAGATGGATGTTTCACGAGGCAGAACCTATGTTACGCGTGTAGATGAGCAGAGCAAGAATTTAAAGTGTATATTTACTGTTAACCCGGAAAAAGATTGCACGGAATTTGTCAATTTAGGTGTGGTTGAAATACAACCACTGCAATGTGCATCATTCTGGTCTCCTGCAAATGCCACCTGAGATGAACATCAACATTTCTAAGGAAGAGGGAGAGAGGGAGGGAGAGGGGAGAGAGAGGGAGAGGGAAATGAGAGAGGGAGATGGGGGAGAGGAGGGAAAGGAATAAAAACATAAACACTTTATCCATCAAAGAATCAAAATAGTCTCCATCTATTATAAACAGTAAATATAGAATCTTAAATCTCACTATTTTAAGCATGATTGTAAAGTACAAGTTTGCAAAGCTATATATAAAAACACTGTTTCCGACAGCAATATTTACAGTGGTTATGACCGGAGAAAAGTTTAAGATTTTCCTACTAATGTGGCTTCCCCAGAAGAAGACTGGGCTGCTCTGCCTTACACACTGCTAATCCTCTCACTAACTACATTAGAAGGGTTTACCGGTAGCTCCAAATTTTCCACTTGCATCTCTATACCGGGCTCCCTGTCATCGCCTTTCCTAACCACAGGCTCATTGGTATGCCGATAAATGTTAACATTAAGCTCCCTCCCGGACAAAGCAGTGGCCGCTATTCTCTGTATCTGCCTGATAGGCGGCTTTTTCTCAGGCTTATAGTTGCAGCGCAAATAGTTGGAGAAAGCCCTGCGGTAAACCCTGTTGAAGAGCGTGTACACCAGGGGATTAATTCCCGAACAAACGTAGCCAATCCACACAAACACATTCAGAAGCTTTTCCATGAGCTTTTGATTACAGGCTTTCCCACACAGAACTGACAGAATATTGGTAATGAAAAATGGGCACCACATAACCAGAAACACAAAGAACACAATGCCAAGGACTTTCGATGCTTTCTTCTCATTGTTGATAGCCTGCATGGTGCCCCGAGGACGTTTTTCTTTCTTCTTTTTCCGGCGTGGGTTCCCATCTTGATTGGGGTTTGCTGGATTCTCTTCATCGGCAGTATTCCTGGCGCAGCACTTCAGAAAATTCAGGCTTGGGCCCAGGGGTTCCAGGGCGTGGCCACGCAGCAACATCAACGCTTGTCTGCGCAGGACGTAGATGGTCAGGAAATACGTGATCACCATGATCGTCAGAGGGATGAAGAACGCCACGAAGGATCCAATCAGCACGAAGTTCGGGTCGTTGAGCACGCACGTTGTGTTGTTCACGAACACTTTGTCTTCATCCCTCAGTCCAATCACGGGGATGGGCACTGACACACCTAAAGGAATAAGAAGGTGCGACCACGTTACAGCACGTGGAAGGACTGGGCAGCTTTGTACAACGCCATACATTTGTTCACATTTTACTGAAGGCAACTTAGACTTGATGTTTGTTGAAAGCTATTCACAGCATAGTTGATAGCCACACGAAACAGCAGCAGTATGATACGAGAAAAGGTGGCTCCTTTCCTCTTTTATTTTTCTTTCTGTCTTTCTTTCTTTTTTTTTTTTTTTTTTTTTT